TCTAAGAATGTGGCGAGACCTGTTCTCATACTTATACACAAATATCTGTCTAAGAATGTGGCGAGACCTGTTCTCATACTTATACACAAATATCTGTCTAAGAATGTGGCCGAGACTTGTTCTGATACTTATACACAAATATCTGTCTAAGAATGTGGCGAAACCTGTTCAGATATTTATACACAAAAGCAAAAATACAGACATGTCACGTGATATTTAAGAAAATATAAAATGTGAAATTTTATCTCTTGGTACTTCACTCCTGAAGATGATGTGTGACATGTTGAAACATGCAGTCATTATTTTGATATGATTTTAATTGTGTATTGATTTTAATGTTGTATATTTATTATTTTAATCATGAATATATGTGTGTGTATAACTATACATATAATTAATTATTATTTTGGCTAGTGTTTTGTAGCTGCTGAACATAAAAAAGCATTAATTGCTATTGAAAGGAACTTAAACACTGGAAATTGATTTGTACACTAAAAAAATGGACATTAAAGCCAAACTCTCACAAAACAAAGGGGTGGGATCATTATACACATTTGATTGTACTATGTTACATGTATACGAAAAAAAATTATTTACAAAAAACAATTTTAAATTATCACACACCATTCAATGTCAAGACATTGGACAGTAAGAAGACACATACCAGAGCTTTTTTCATAACAGTCAAATTGTCAGCATCCCATTCATCTTCATCATAGGTTGTTAGTTGTAAGACACGAATAATTTCGTTGATCTCATCTGTCATCCTGTGGGCCAGATAGTTTCTGTTTTCTGCTGCCTCTTCTACTCCTTTACCACCTATTACACATTTATAAAAATGTGCTGAACCTGATGTTTAATAAACTTCCCAGAAAACATACACAAGCCTGTTTTGAACACTTCAAATGATGTTTATTACCTATTATTTTCTTATCAAGCTTCCATGGGCTTGTTTTAGATTCTTAAAAGTTTACATATCATATATAATGTATTTTTTCACTACTTTTACACATGATTCTAAAAATTGAGTAGATATTTAAACACATTTATATATATATATATATATATATATAGTTACAATTGACCTAACAACTTTATAAAAGCATCTTTATACTTTAAAAATAATAAATTACCTTGAGACAAAATCTGGACAAATATTTTCATGCTGCAGATAAGGATCGGTGCAAGGTTCTTTACAGATTCCAGACAGCGAATCAAGATCTCACGATGAACCTGGTGAGTCAACTCTTTTTCTCTTGCATCAACATCACGAGAAACTTTTGTTAAGCATGGACTAAGATCCTGTTGAATAAAAAGGTTTCAGGATATCTGTTTCTAAAATCCCCTTTTAATACACATTTTTGTATTGTAATATAGTTCTCTGGCTACATGTTAATAAGCAGAAATTTACTGGCTGAACACCTAGCCAAGGTATGGTAAAGAAATTTATTTGACTTAGCCACTGATGTTATACAAAAACGAAACAAAAAAACAGCTTAGTCTTGTATAAGGATGTATGTTGCTGGTATGCTGAATATTTTAACAACTAATAAAAATAAATGCACAAGTGAAAGAGATAGAGACAAAAAAAGTGTTCAACATTCCAACAACCACTGATCCTTATTTTGAAGGACCTGCTAGCAGTTTTTGGAACCTCATAGTCATGTTGCAAATGTTTTTGTGGGGTAATAATATTTTGTAAATGTGTGGTACAGTTTGCTGACCTGTATAGTGACTCATTAAATTTCCCTGATTCTTGGTGATGTGTCAAACTTTGAGAAATCCTTATCTGTTAAAGTTGGTAGAATTACTGATAATATCAGTTTTGTTCCAATTACTGTTATATCATCCACAGTCACAAAATCCAAAAATGTTTCCTTTCTCAACTGCTTTTCTAGGAACTGCAACTTAGTTCTTAATTGTGAAGAATTACAGCAATTAACAAATAAATTAACATAAATCATAATTTTGATGTCAATAACTAAGACATTTACGGTTCTAAATGTGGTTTGCGCATACGCTCCAAGTGGGATGTACTGAGGAAGAGAAGGAAGAGTTCTGGAGACATCTGGACGAAGAAATACAGTCGATACTGCAGGAGGAAAGAGTGTTTCTGGGAGGGGACTTGAATGGGCACATCGGAGCGGAAAGAGGGTACTGCCCAGGGTACACAGTGGATGGGGTGTAGAAGGGAGAAACGGAGAAGGTGAGAGCATCATAGACTTCGCAGTGGCAAACGAGATGGCAATAGTAAACACTTTCTTTAAAAAGACGCTTGACCAATATATCACCTACAAAAGCGGAGCCAGAGAAAGTCAAATTGACTTCCTCTTGTGCAGAAGAAACCATCTTGGAGAGGTGAAAAATTGTAAGGTGATAAAGGGAGAAAGTGTTTCAGCTCAACATCGGCTTG